ATTCTTCAGAGAGTTTTAGGGCATCCTAGTAAATCCCTTGGGACAACAAGGCCCCATACATGAACAGCACTTTCAATATTTTGGGCACTCGTGTAATATAGGGGTCGGAATTATGACTTGTCAAGTTCCCTTATGGCCCCTTTGTAATTATACTACAATAACTCCCAAAGCCCTGTTCTAAGTATTCAGGCCCTTAAAGTAGTCCTAAACCCTAAACTCCAGACTCTTAACCCTGTTCTAATTATTAAGGCCCCTATCGTAGTATCTGATGCAGCCGGAAAAGGTCCTTCGTGTCAGGCTCGGCGTGCGGGTTCAGAGTCGGGCGCAGCCGTTGAGGGTTTAAGGTGTAGGGTCTGATGCCCTAAACCCTAAACCCTAAACCCCAAACCCCAAACCCTAAACCCTAAACCCTAAACCCTAAACCCTAAACCCTAAACCCTAAACCCACTTCGAAGTGCGCTCCCTGCATGCTGGCCCTCCATCCGAAACACTAAGCCATGCCCGCCTGGCCACTCTTCCCACACCACCCCACGCCCTTGCAGAGATGTCCTGATGTTAAACGCTGCTCCCGAAACGCCCGAAACCCTTTAAGCCCTGCACCCGAACTAAAACCTAAAACTTTAATCAGCCTAAGCCCTAAACCCTAAGGCCCAGACCGTTTAAACCCACCCCAAGCCCTCAACTCCGACTTAGAGAGCAGAAAACACCTGGGCTTGCCAAGGATCAAGTGTTCCTTCCTGGAGGTCTACAATGAGAATGCTTCTTGGCTTGCAGGTTCGTATTTAGGGTGTAGGCTGTGCCACATGTCGGGGTTGATTACGTCTCAGGTCCCAGTTATCAGGCGTCGCCATGGGCAGCGGCGGGAGTTCCAGCGGTCGGCGTGGTTCAGGGAGGGGTTTAAGGTTCAGAGTGCAGGCGAGCGTTGAAAAGGACATCAGAAGCTGAATGCTTGGGTACCTGCTTCAAGGTTCATGGCTATAAGTACGCTACCCCTGAACGTCCAAGTAGTTGTGCTGCTGCGTGACTTGGAGATGATGTTTATGACGCCCGCATGCCTACATTGGATCTGCCCCGCACGCGTCCTGAAACTTCCGAGGCCATAGCCAAAACCCTAAACTCTAAACCCTACACCTAAACCCTGAGGCCTGAGCCCTGAGCCCTGAACCTTCCAAGTTTCGGGGTGGAGGTTTTCAGTTCGAATTCAACTTTACCCAGGCCTGTCCAAGTTGGAGCACCCATCTGAACGCCAGACACACCGTGGGAACCAAACACTGCATTTCGGAGTTGAGCTCGGGGTTTAGGGCTTGCGCGTTTGGTCTAGGGTTTAAGGTCCAGGGTTTGGGGTTTAGGGAAAATAGGGTTAGGTGCTTCACTGCACCTTGACATTCTTTTGGATATGTGTGGGCCCGGGGTTAGGTCCAACGGTTTTTGATTTGGCTCGTTTATAGCATCTTTGTGACATCAATCGCCTGATGCCTTATCTTTGTCTATATCTTTGTCCGCATCTATAGCAACATCTGTATCTCTCTCTATAAATATATATATGTATATATATATATATATGTTAGTTTTGGGTTTAGGGGTACCCTGGTACCCTACACTTTTAAAGAACATGCTGAAATTGAGAGCCCATGCTTTGCCCAGCGGGTCCACTTGCAACATGATGCCGGAGCTAGGGTACCAAAAGTCATGCTTTGTCGGGCTATGGGGGGGTACCTATTTCTATGAGAGCAGTATGTGCAGACCCTCTGTTGTTTTGAAAACCCTAAACCCGAAACCCAAAACGCTAAACCCTAAACCCTAAACCCTTAACCCTAACCGCTAAACCCTAAACCCTAAACCCCTAAACCCTAAAACCTAAACCCTGAACCCCGACGGCCCGACGAAGGTCCGGGACCTCTTGCGCCCGGATGGGGACTTCCTGGACATCCGTGAGGACCTGGCCATCCTTCAGTGTGTAGAGTTGTCGGATTGTAGGCTCTAGGGTATTTAGGGTTGAGGGGTTTGAGGCTTTAGGGTATTGAGGGCTGTAGGGTATTTGGGGTACTTAGGGTTTAGGGATGTGACGTGTTAGGTTGAGGGTTTCGGGTTTTGGGGTTTTAGGGTCTTTAAGGCTTAGTGATTTGAGGTTTTCGGTTTAGGGTTTAGGGTGTTGAGACGTCTAGGGTATCTAGGGTTTAGGGATTTGAGGCTTCAGGGTATGTAGGGGAGGCTTCTAGGATTTATAGGGTTTAGGGTTATGGCAAGGATGTTGAATAGTTTGGGGTTTCATGGTCCCTTAGTATGGGCCCTTGGGAGGGGGACCCTTTAATACCCCTCATATTTCTTCCCTAGACAGCCCATGGGCCCATACTTCAGAACCCTTTAAACCATATTCAGGGCCCAGATTTCTGTACAGGAGCTACCACGCTCTTCGACTGTAGAGACAGGGTGTAAACCCTAAACCCTTCATCTTAAACCTTAAGGCTTGTAAGCCCTAAACCCTAAGCTTACCTTCCTTGGTGTATGTGTTACTTACTCCGTGGCTTGACTTCGGACATCTGGCTTTTTCTGGCGAATGGTGGTGCTCGCTCTCTCTCTCTCTCTCTCTCTCTCTCTCTCTCTCTCTCCAGGGGTTGCTATAAGAAAGGTTTAGGTTAAAGGCCGACCTCCCCCAATTTTGGGGGAAACCCCATTTGTGAGGGTCGGAGATGTTTACATTCTGTGACTCGTTTCATGGTTTGGTAGTCGATGGATGTCGACTCAGAACTTCATCGGCAGGCTCGTGGTTGAAGGGTTCAACGTTTAGACTCGTGCCATGATGATGGTCATCATCACCATCGCCACCGACAGCTCCAGCGATGTCTTCAGCGGCACAGTGATCCATCGTCCCTGTCTTTCGGGCTTTGGCATAGCGGAATACTGTTAGTCATCATTCCGATCCCTACATCAACCTTCAGCTGCGTTGTTGGGCTTGTTTGGGTTTCGGGATTGGCAATTGGGGTTTAGAGTGCTCAACCCTAGACCCTACAACCTAAACCCTCCTCCCAGAAAAGCCCTCATACTTCATTTGTGGATTTGCTTCTCCCCTTCAACAACTCAACCACGACATGGTATGTCAACTCCCCAAACAGGTACCCCTAACCCTAAACCATATAACCCTTTTTGTTTGGAAACTGTCAAATCATCTCTTCTGCATGGAAGGATCCGGTTAAGGGCATGTGCGTGGCAGGCGCGACTTGGGAGGGGGTGGCACACACCGAACCCTAAGACAGGAGACCGGAGAGTTTAGGTTTAGGAGTTTAGGGTTAGAGTTTATAGGCTTTCTGGGGTTTCTAGGGTTTATAGGGTTTATGGGGTCTAGCGCAGGCCCTGAAACGCTTTGGTCAAGTTGTCGGCCAGCATTCCTTGACATTTCTGGTTGGGTGACAAACACTCTTGCCGCCAGCCAAACCCGAAACTGCCCTGCAGCCCCCTGGCCGGGAGGGGTTTGGGGTTTAGGGGTGTAGGCAAGGGTTTGGGGTTTGGGGTTTAGGGTTTAGGGTTTAGGGTTGGGATCTGCCTCGGCACACTAACAGTCAAATAAAGGGTTTTGTACTAAACATAGCGCAAAATTCCAGCACCAGAAAGTCTGATCGAGTTTGGACCTGGCTCAGCAGACGAGATCACACTTTGGGCCTTGGTTTGTGGTCTTTTCTGGTGCTAGTCACTGTGCTCCTGCTGGTGCTTGTTGATGGTGCCATTGCTTCGTTCTGAGCACAAAAAATAGCACCGGAGAAAGCACAATCATGAGCACAAAAAATAGCACCGGAGAAAGCACAATCATGAGCACAAAAAGAAGCACCGGAGAAAGCACAATCATGAGCACAAAAAGAAGCACCGGAGAAAGCACAATCGTGAGCACAAAAAATAGCACCGGAGAAAGCACAATCTTGAGCACAAACAAGAGCACCGGAAAACTTCATCACACTCATACATCAGGCCTTCAGGTATGATCATGAGGCACTCAGAAATGTCCAATCTCACGGGTGTTTTTTTTTTTGGGTGTGTTTGTGCTGACCATTAGTGTGCTCGGGCAAGTCATAAGTTTAGGGTTTAGGGTTTTGGGTTATGGGTTATTTCAAGAACCCGAACTCAGACCCTGAGCCCTGGACCGGCACTTTGGCTAGACATGATCTAGGAGCAGATCGACAACCGGAGGTCAGCCAAAGATTTGGTGCATAACCCCCTCTGACACCCAGAAGATGCGTTGCCTATAGCTTAGAGCACCGGGCGGACTTGCGCACACCCTAAACCCTAAACCCTACAGCCCTAATCCCTAAAACCCTGACGCCCTCGAACGAGTGCGGCTAAGTAGGGCTGGGTGGCAGCTGTTAAACTCAGACAAGGCTTCGTGTTTCTCATCAAATGCAGGAGCCTTGAATCCTTGTTGAGTACTGCACAACTCTGTAAGCGCAAAGGTTAACCATTCTTCCCCTATACGAATTCAGCCAAGCCAGTAAAGTTTAGGGCTTAGGCCCCCGTTGATTGGCATGTTGGTTCTCAAGTTGACAAGGCTGAGGCTTTAGGGTTTAGGGTTTGGGGTTTGGGGTTTAGGGTTTAGGGTTTAGGGTTTAGGGTTTAGGGTTTATAAGGGTTGGCGGGCGCGGGATTCAAGACGCCCCTTATTTCCCTGTGACTGTCTTCGAAGTGTAGTTTTTTCTTGTATTTGCCGTCTGAATCGGGTTCCTTAGAGACTCAAGACAGATTCTGCTCCGACAAAGCCTCGCTGTTGCTTTTCACCCGAACGAAGGACCTTAGGGCCTGAATAGAGAAGAGTTGTGAAGACGCTGAAGCAGCTTGCATGCCAGGAAGCTACCTGGCGCACGTCGAGGGGAAAAGGCATCAGAGCAACGTGGCCACGGTGCGAGAAGGTGCTCAGAGCGCTGTTGCGAGTCGGGCAGAAGCATGCTAGCAGCGTCACTGCGAAGCTGGTGCGGCGCAAGCGACAAGGTGCCTTGGCCAGTTTGTCTAATCCACGCATGTGCTTCCAGTGGTGTCACTTTCACTTTCCTGGCCTTCCAGGGCGCGGATCCATGACGAAGCGCCAAGCAGAGGTCTTCCGGTCGGCCCTGCGGAAGCGATGCCGCAAGACCAGCTTTTTTGCGGACGTGTCGCAGTCAGAAGACTTCTGCCGCGCTGGGCAGGGTCGATGCCCGACGTGGTCCAGAGGCTCCGTCGTAGCTTACGTGCCGCCTATGGTCTGTGCCAGTCACGTGCAGCTTCTGGACGGACTCGACGGCCTTGTTCCGTGTCGGCGTTTACTTGTTGGGGTCGTGGGGGCATGCGCGAGAACTGTTGGTCCTGGTTGCCATTATAGTGCAATACATCCATACATCCATACATCGTGTGAAGCACTCCACGACTTTGTGGATCTTCGAATGCCGCCCACATTGAGCGACGCCGACCGTGTGCGATTGGTGGGCAACACGCAGCACGTGAGGCCTATCGCGGCAGCCGTTGCTTTAGGCCTCTCCTTGCTTCGCCGAGCGCCGACGAAGAGGACCTTCCGGAGGACGTTTCTTCACCTCAGGCACGCTTGTATGTCGAAATGCAGCGTAGCATCATCATGCACGATACCACTGAGACCGCTTCTCCTTGGCGTCGGCCAGGTGCCAGCAGAGTTGTGACGTAACGGAGGGTTTTAATGAAAAAAAGAGGTTTCTGGTGTTTAAAGGCGATTTTTTCCGGAATCGGGTGTTTACCATAAGATCAGGTGGTTAGGCTGAATATGTAGGCCCCGCGCCCGGCATAGGTGTGTTTGGTAAGTCTTAAGTGCCGTGTCGTTGGTCAGTTGTTTGGATTTCAGGGGTTGGAGTTTCATTGGATTGAACTAGGCTTGCAAGTGTGAGGCTCCAGGCCCAGTGTTTCGACCATACTAAATGATCAGCATCGCAACATATCACACATCATCATCTTCAATGGTGTGAAGCTGCTGTCGGAGAAATGAGCGAAGAACCCAGGGGCGCCTTAAATATTCGGCCATATTAAAGAGCTCAAGAAGAGGTAATTTGGGAGGTTTTAGTAATACCGCATAAACTCACGGACCATAGGCGAATTCGCACAGGACATAGGGGTCCCCTGCCCCCGCCCCCACCCCCCCCCCCCTCCCCCCGCCCCTGCCCCCGCCCCCCCCCCCCCCCCCCCCCCCTCCGGCTGGGCTTGAATTGATGGGGCTTCAGCTCCTGTTTGGGTCCTGGTGCTACCCCCTACCCCCCCCCCAACGTTTCACAGAGGCTCAAGCAAATCAACTTTTGGCATCCTTTGAGCTGACAAGCGCGTTTAAACCTTTCAACTATGCTCCAGCGGGGTCGGCGGCTTGAGCCGGAGGCTCTTAAATTTAGGGCTATTATACCCTATAACCCTGAAAAAGGCCCTTAGGGACGTCTTAAATCCCGCGCCCGGCTAAGGGTTTAGGCCCGAAGACCAAGCCAGATCGATTTCAGAACGGCCAGCCCCCCCAGGTCCCCTGAGCCCTTAACACCAAGCCCTACTTGGAGGTTCATGGGTAGTTATAAGTCGGGTTCTAGGTAAGGGTACTTATACTTATAACAATTTATATCCTTATTTAGATTACGTTTATCCGTACTTATAGCTACCCGCGAACTTTCATTCTAAAGCCCTAAACGCCCTAGGCCCCCCTCAAATCCTAGCTCAATCCTGCTCCCCCCCAAAACCCTGAACCCTAATCATCCCCAACCCTTGAGGCCTGATTGCGCTCCTCAAATCCTGAACCTCAGACTCTACGCCTCAGAGGGGCGCCCGACCCGAAGCTCTAAACCCTAACACCCCGTAAACCCTTTCTAAACCCCCCTAAACCCCCTAAACGCCCTAAACCCCTCAACCCCCTAAACCCTAAATCCTAAACCCTAAACCCCCTAAACCCTAAATCCTAAACCCTAAACCCTTGCAGGCATCAGTGAGGTCGGGGGTCTCGAGAGCGCGGAGGATGGGACTCCAGAGTTTTGAGCTTGTTGTTCGGGCGTAGGGCTTCGGGCCCTGGCGGTTTAGGGTTTAGGGTTGAGGGTTTAGGGTTTAGGGTTTAGGAATTGATGGTGGATGTCACCCCCCCCCCCCCCCGGAGGTAGGGGTCATGAACCATAGAGCCTACATACCCTAAGGAGGGCACAGCCTAGGTCAGAGGCCTTAATGCCTTAACAAAAAGGTCGGAAAGTAAAGGGTGGGTCGGAGATTCTCACGTTCTGTGAGTCTTTGGTTTGATAGATCGATGGATGTCGACACAGAACTTCATCTACAAGCTCCCTTAGGGTCAACGCTTGGGGTTCAGGGTTTAGTGAAGATTCCCTTATAAGCCCCTTTAACCCAAACAAGGGCGCCCTTTTTATTCCTTAGGTTACTCTTGGGTCAAACCTTCGACTTTCCGGATTTCGCATCTTGGCGTAGGCCGAATGGATTGCTTTCGGTGTTGGGCAGTCTGGCATCTATGCGTGTTCGGTGGGCACTGAGAGGTGTGATTCTAGCCATTTGAATGGGCGTTGTTTCTTTTTGGGTATGAGGTCAAGGTCCCTTATAGAATACCCACAGCAAAATTAGCTGCTTGGATCCCTGCGGCTACCCCATGGGAGCCATGCTGCCCCCTAAACCCTAAAACCTAAACCCTCAATTTAAACAGCGGACTCTCTGCCGGGGAACTACCGGGCGGACACCGAGCGAGGAGGCGTGGAGAGCGTTGGCTCAAAAATTAGCGAGCTCCCAAGAGTCCTTTCGAGAATTCCCGTTTTCCTCGCATCCACTCTGTGTGTTTGCTGTCGTCTTGGGGTCTTGTGGTCTGTCGTTGGTCTTGTAACCTCCAGGGACCGAATAGTTCGGTTAGTAGAAGCCTTGTAAGGACCCTAAACCCTAAACCCTAAACCCTAAACCCTAAACCCTAAACCCTAAACCCTAAACCCTAAACGTATAGGGTATCCCATCAGATCGGCCCTTCCTTTCCTTCTGACGCGCCAGCGTGTTCTTGACACGTGCAAGTTGCTGTTTGGCATTGTGTCCAGTCATGGTATGGCCAAGACCGTCACTGTGTGCGGGTTAGGGTTTAGGGCCTTACAGTTTAGGGCTTAACAATTTAGGGATTTTGGGGATTTTGGGTTCAGAGTGCGCTGTCCGTATTCACAGCGTATGCTGGCGCCTCATCTGGTCGTTGCCCTGCCCGACACAGGAGATCATGGTTCTCCTGCATCAAGGCAACAAGAACCGCACTACTGAGTCCACTGGGGCGAACGCTGCTCTGCCGCGGTTCAGTTCCGGGTTCGGGGCTCGTGGAACCCTACCTTGCGAACCCAAAACTGATCTCCCTAAGGGTCCATGTACCTATGTGGTATATAGTTGGGCCTTCAAGATTCCCATATAGTAGCTTTAGGGCCCGGGCCCAAGCATGTACTGTATGGGTACACGGAGCCTTAAGGGCTTGTTGTAGGTTACCTAAGGATCTTGTAAGGAGTTTTTCGATAGGAACCTGGAACAAAGAAAACCCTAAACCCTAAACCGTTTCGGGCTCTCAAGGTAAAACCCAACACCTGAACGCGCAAGCGCGGCACGTGCTGAAATGTTGCTGTTGTACTCGATGGGTCGACATGTAACCCTTGCGAGGCCTTCAGGTTTGGGGTTTTGGGGTTTAGGGCTTTAGGGTCTTAGGGCTTAGGGTTTATGGATTTTATGAGCTTAGGTTGCAAGCACGATCGCCTTACTGGGGCTGTTTTTGGAATTTGTGTTCAAGCTCTGTAGGATGACCCACACAAAACAAAGAAGTACCCAAGCCGATTGGCAATGGGTTTGGAGTTTAGGGCTTAGGGTTTGGGGTGTAGGGTTCAGGGTTTAGGGTTGGGGTTTGCGTGCTTTAAGTCTAGCAGTGGGGATGTATACTAACTACGAACAGTCCTTAAAAGGGACTATACTAGGGGTACCACACTCCCTATTGAGGGCTGTTAGTGTCAGTCCTAGGTAGGACAAGGGGGACCCGTCTGAGGGAGCCCTTCTTAACTCTCTTCTGGCTCTCTTAGAACAGGGACCTTATTCAGAGGGTCCATATCCCCAAGGGTCCCCCTAACCCATCCCTAACCCCATCCTCTAATAAGGGGGAAATCCCACTAACTACTAACAGTCCTTACAGGGGGACTATACTAGGGGGTACGATAATCCCTATTAAGGGCTGTTAGTATAAGGGGCAACATCCCAAGTCAGAAGCTCTACTGGGTTTTGGAGTGCTATACTTTAATACGTTTTTGGTTCTGGGTTCCTATCATGGCTACTTATACCTACAAGTGTATGCCTTGTTTTCCAGGGTCTGCTCCAAAGTAGGTTCTAAATCCTAAACCCTAAACCCTAAACCCTAAACCCTAAACCCTGAACTTCCGAACCCCAGGTGACAAGCTCGAGAAGCCATGCTGTCCTGCAGGCTCGGCTATTTTGTTTGGTGGGTTGGTCTGAGGTTTAGGGTTTAGGGTATAGGGTTTAGGGTTTGAGGTTTAGGGTTTAGGGTTTAAGGTTTAGGGTTTAGGGTTTAGGGTTTAGGGCTTTGCGTGTGCGATAAGTATCGTGGGGTGATTCCTCACGGCCGTCTGATGAAGATGAGGTGGGTTCTGACGTTCAAGCGTGTAGAGGGCGAGCCCGACAAAGCCAAGCGAAAGGCCCGCCTGGTCCTCTTGGGCTTTTCGGACCCCGACTTGTTGGACTCCAACGCTGACTCGGCGAAGCCGCCAGCTCATGCTGAACCCGTACACTCAGAAATGCTGGAAGCTCAAGAAGGCAGACGTCAAGAGTGCCTTCCTTCAAGGAGCGGCGCACCAGGAGCCAAGGAACATCTTTACAATACCTGTCCCTGAGCTCGCTGAAGCATTGCAAGTCCCATGGCGGGGCTCCCATGGCGGGGCGGTTCGCCTGCGCCAGTCTGCCTACGGCTTGACCCCAGCACCCCGGACTGGTTTAGGGTTGAGGGTTTAGGGTTTAGGGTTTCGGGATGTGAAGAAGGTGCTCCAAAGTGCTGGCTTTCGGCTCTGCAAGAGCGATCCATGGGCCCTCTCGGCATGATCGGGATTCATGTGGATGACTTCTTGGTTGCAGGCTCCGACCCCTAAACCCTAAACCCTAAACCCTAAACCCTAAGCCCTAAGCCCTAAACCCATAACCCTGTAAGCCCTGAGAACTGCACCCTAAACCCTAAACCCTAAACCCCAAACCCCAAACCCCAAACCCTAAACCCTAAACCCTAGACCCTTGGATGCCCAGCAGTGCCCTGATTCCGTCTTTGTAGGTTGACTACACCCTCGACCCTGCCTAAAGGCTCCTATGTAGTGCCTTTTTGTATACTAGAATCACCTCGAACCCCTAGAAGTAAGCTAAACCAAAAAGGAACTACATTAGAGAGCCCTCAGGTAGACCCTAAACTTTGGCCCTAGACCCTGAAACCTGAACCCTAAATCCTAACCAGCCGCCTTTAAACAACAAGTTTCCTGGGCAACTAGGCCCCCTAAACCTCAAACCTTAACGCCCACCAGGTCAGCGAGCGTAATAGGGTTCAGGGTTTAGGTACGGGCCTAAACCCTAAACCCTCAACCCTAAACCCTAAACCCTAAAACCCTAAACCCTAAACCGTTTGACCTTCGGACGTATGGGCCCT